TGATTATGTGTTAATTTGTAAGGAAAAAGCCCTCCCCACACTGTAGACCAAGAGTTGTTGAGGATAGTGTAACCTCAAAATGCTGCTGAGTGTGAAAGATGAGATAACTTGAAGTTATTGATCTCTGCCGGAAAAACTGAGCCATCACAGCAGCTGAAGAGAAGATGGCGAGACGTGAAGAACAGGAACATTTTAAACCCGGAGAAAACGTAACTTTGACAGTTCTCTGGTTTCCCCAGATTACCGCTCAACTCACAGCACCCAAAACACTGAACTACTTGTAGCTGTGGATTGGAGTGAAGAGCCGAGTTGTGGGCGACTCCCCGCAGCTTTGCCGTTAACTTGAGAGGCGAGCAGCAGCGGCAGATTATGGGACAGATATACGCTGTGTGAGGCTGGTGAGACTTTGGGACACCCGGAGCTCGTCTGATCTTCCACTTGATCTGCGCAGCGGGACCTGGCCGCAGTGAGAGTCAATTACGAGCAAGAAAGTTATCGGTGTGGTTCCAAGAGAGGTCAACGAGAGGGCAGCAGCACGACGACTGCCTTTCGCAGTGCGTAAGAACCATTTTATATGATGAAACTCAGACAAAATTAAATAAAAGTTGTTGGTTTTCAGAATTAAACGGCAGCAAAAGACAATATCAATAGAAACTCATTTAATTAAAATACATATTCTTTTAGCCCAGTCAGTGAGACGTCTAGTTGCCCTCATGAACCAAAGCCTGTTGAGTATTTGCATAAAATACAAGCAGTACTGTACATCTCCGCTCTAACTCTGAAGTGTGCAGCACCACCTTGTGGTTATTAGGTATTACTATAATTTGATCTTTAATCCTCTCCACCATTGCACCTTCACTTACACACATCTAAATAGTTTTTCCTCAAATACTTTTGTGTTCCTTTACAAATGCATTCTCTACAACTTCAGTAAACTGTAAGTTTACACCTGTACAAACTTTATTTCTTGTGGAGATCCTAAAGTTTCTAGAGGTATTATACATGTCAGGCTGAATTTGGGGGGGGGGGGGGGGGGGGGGGGGG